GGATCATTGTATGTCGAGTAAGGCGTGAACGAATGTGAAAGGCTTTGCCACATTCTTCACATTTGTAGGGTTTCTCTCCAGTATGGATCATCTTATGTTGAGTAAAGCTTGAATGAATGTAAAAGGCTTTGCCACATTCTTCACATTTGTAGGGTTTTTCTCCAGCATGGGTCATCGTATGTCGAGTAAGGCATGAACGCATGTGAAAGGCTTTGCCACATTCTTCACATTTGTAGGGTTTCTCTCCAGTATGGATTATTGTATGTTGAGAAAGATATGAATGAGAGTGAAAGGATTTGCCACATTCTTCACATTTGTATGGTTGCTCTCCAGTATGGATCTTCATATGTTGAGTAAGACGTGAATGAATGTGATAGGCTTTGCCACATTCTTCACATTTGTAGGGTTTCTCTCCAGTATGGATCATCTTATGTTGAGTAAAGCTTGAATGAATGTGAAAGGCTTTTCCACATTCTTCACATTTGTAGGGTTTCTCTCCAGTATGGATCACTGTATGCTTAGTAAGATGTGAACGAGAGTTAAAGGCTTTGCCACATTCTGCACATTTGTAGGGTTTCTCTCCAGTATGAATCATTGTATGTTGAGTAAGATGTGAACGAGAGTGAAAGGCTTTGCCACATTCTTCACATTTGTAGGGTTTCTCTCCAGTATGGATCATCGTATGTCCAGTAAGGAGTGAACGAAACTGAAAGGTTTTGCCACATTCTTCACATTTGTAGGGTTTCTTTCCAGTATGGATCACTGTATGTTGAGTAAGATTTGAATGAGAATGAAATGCTTTGCCACATTCTTCACATTTGTAGTGTCCCACTCTAGTATGGATCATTGTATGTTGAGTAAGATGTGAACAAGAGAGAAAGGCTTTGCCACATTCTTATATTTTGTAGGGTTTCTGTCCTGTATGGCTCACTGTATGCTGAGTAAGATGTGAATGATGAAGTCTCTCTCTCCCCTATGATTCTTTCATGTGTATTTAGATAGGATGATTTCTTAAACACTTTCCCAAATATATTGTGTATATTTCCTCAACTATTTTTTTGATGTTGACTATATTTTGAGGACCTGTTAAATGTTTGGTTATGTTTGTGTTTGGAAGTCATTTCAGAAATAAGGATACTCTGGTGAATAACATATTTGGAGTGTTGATGAACGGCTTTCCAAGCTGGGCTCAGTGGCTCAGCCTGTAATCTCGCGCCTCTGGGAGACTGAGGTGAGTGGATTGTCTGAGCCTGCGGTTCGAGACCTGCCTGGGCAGAGACCTCATATCTACAATAAATCAAAAACTCAGCTGGGAGTGGTATCTCATGCCTATAATTCCAGCTACTCGGAAGGCTGAGGTGGAAGGATTGTTGGAGCCCAGCAGGTGGAGGCTGTGGTGGTTGGGAGCAGCCACTGCACTCCAGTCTGGGTGACCGAGTGACACTCCAACTAAAAAAAAAAAAAAAAAATGAAAGGCTTTCCTACTCTTATTGCATTTGTAATGGTTATTTGCAACTGAGCATTCTATCTGCTCTTCACCCTCATGCACACTTACCCAGATTTTTGTAAGCATAAGTTCTTAAGACATATTTACCATAATTTCCCATTGGCACCTTTGCAGTGAGTCTTCTATGCTCT